TATATATATATATATATATATATATATATATATATATAAGAAGGAGGATTGCCGCTCCTACTAGTCCTGCTTCAGCTTCGTTGGCGTCTCCGGTTCAAATATCTCGGGATTACGCTGCTGGTAATAGTACGCCGCAACAATGACGAGCAACACCATCACAAAAGCTAAGGTCAATGTGCCCACCACCTTCAGCAGCATGTAGTGCTGTCCGTTGGCGCACGGCACCTCCGCACACTGCCGCTCCGCCAGACGCCGCTTCAGCCACGGTATCTCGCCTGGAAGGTTGAAGGTGTTGAAGACGGGCAGGTGAGCGACGTCGTGAAGGTCCAGCGCCTTCGTCGCCGCCTCCGCCTCCTCATCGAATTCATCGAGAAGTGGCTCGACGGCGTAGGAAGGAAGATTATCAAGGGACTTGTCGAAGGTGATGAGCAGTGCGCCGTCCTGCACGCCGTGCAGCGTCAGAATCACACGTGTGTGATGGAGAACGTCGTATTTTGCGGTATCCGACGACTTTCCCGGCGCCGCCGCGGCGTCCCCGACAAGCTGCAGTGTGCCAAAGTTCCGCTGTGCTGCGGTGGTGCGGGTCAAGAAGACGTACCGCTTCACAAATCCGTTTTCCGGCTTGTCCTCTGGCGTTTTGGGGGTCGTGAACCAACTCGCCAGCCGCCCCGCGAAGGGCGCCTCCTGCACCGTGTGTGTCAACCCGCCGGTGGTGAGCTCCACCAGGTACGACGGCAGCGGCGGCAGCAGCCTCGCCGCAGCTTTCGTTAGCGGCGCCATGGGGAACGAATTGAAGAGCGAGGCGGTGGGACCCTCGACTGTGACATCTTCCTTCGTCGCTCGGCGCACGACGCCCATCTCGCCCGTCTCTGCATGCCCAGAGAGAAAGATAAGCCGGGCCACCTCGTACCTCTTCAGCAAGAGCAGCAGCTTACTACGGGAGGCCGGGTACAGGTCCCAGCCCTCAAAGGGCTTGTTGTCGTTCAATAAGATCTGCCACGGAGACGCGATCAGGGTCACCGCGCAGTGCGCACGACCAGCCGCATCACCAGGGCTCGGCGTATCTGCGGCCAGATAGGTCGAAATAACCCGCTCCACCCACGCCCACTGCGCCGTGCCCAGCAGGTCCGCCTCCATCACCTTCGCGTGCTCTGCGCGTAGCTCTTCAATCTGGCGATCCATTTGCTTCCCGCGCGTACCGTATATGCGGAGACCGTCTTCGGTCGTACCGCGCAGGAGAACGTGAACTAAATTCGCCTGCGCCGACCGCTGCGTCCGTACATCCAGCGTAAGGGTGCAGACGCTGTTCACGAAGTGCGTGGCGAGCGGGCTGTTCGCCGGAGCAGGGACGGTGGTGAAGGAGTACAGGGCGCCGTGTACACCCTCCCCCGCATTGTCCTTCACGGACAGCGGATAACCTTTCCAGAGCTGGGTGAGATACAGGCGACGGACGGCCTCGGCTTGCGTGTAGTTCGCATCCGCGAAGCGCAGACCCAAGTCGCGATCATCCCAAATGCCCACCACACGCCCACCGCCCGCCTCCACCACTTCTTCTACAAACTGACGGTAGTATGGGTTTTCTGTGAGCGCCTTGTACTCCTCTTCAATTCCTGCGGGGGTGCGGGCGTTGCGCATGGCCACACCCGTCTCGCCAACGTCGGCGTACACGGCGTTGCCAAGCCACAGCAGGAGGTCGGTATGCGCGGCGGTTCCCCCGCGCTCTTTCATGACCGCAGGGGCGATGGTGTGCATCCAGTAGGACTGGTCGTCGTGTTGCCGATTGCAGCTGGCGAAGGTGACGTGCGTGAGCACTTCTTTCGGCTGCTTCAGTGCCTTCGACCGCGCGGCATCAGCAGCAGCGGCTGCATCTACTGCGCTGGATGTGAGGAGAAGAGAGAGGTGCACGAGTACAAGCAAAACTGCCCGGTAACGCCACCAAGACCGCGCGGTTGAGCACCGAGAGGCTGTACAGCACAAACGTGTCGGGCAAGACATTACGGACGGAGGACAAGAGGGAGAGAGATCCCAACACAAATAAGCAACTACAACACAATGGAGTGTACAGCCAGTGAAAGGCGGTTGCGTCTGCAGGGTGAAGAGACGGACTTAAATGCGAGGGGAAAAACAAAAACAGATAAAGTGCGTCGTTGTGCGCGAAGGGAATCGGGGCCACAAAGCCACGAGAGTTATTCATGTCCGAAGGCAACAGTAGTTCGAGCCCAACCTGGGAGAGTGCCCGTGCTGAGAAACGGAGACACTATCAGAACAACGAGATGTAACCGTCCATGGTCTTTACAGAAAACATACACACACAAAGGCGTTGGCCCTCCATGTTAGATCGAAGTATCCAGACCACTTAAGAAGAGTGCCATTGCACGCCGAAGTAGGCTCTTCCGTGAGATCGGAGGTGGGCTCTTCCATGGAACATGCACATCTGCTTTCCTGGTTATTGGTGTGCTTTATCGCTGAGGTAGTACCCGCCACAGACCACACGGCATTCGCGACGCCTTCCTTCACCAAATAAAGGAGTTTCATCGTCGAGATAAAAATCAGCAAACGCGAAAGCGCCCGTGCGTACGCGACAATAAAAAAGAAACATCAACAACACTTTGGCAGTCTCCGCAGTCGTCACCGTGCCTGTCGACTGTGCAACGTCACACTCAAAACAACACACAAACACATATGTATATTAAAAAGCCATCAAGCGGATTTAGCTGGACGAACAGCGGTCTCGTTTTTCTCCCTCCGTGCGTCCTCGCCGTCCACCGCCTCACACGTCGCCAAACCTGTAGCCTCACCAACCGTAAAAGCTTCGAGTCTGGCGGAGGGCAACGCGCGAATGGCGCTCATCACCCTCTCCACCGTCTCTTGCGACTCCTCGTTCACCGCGGACAGAATATTCCGAAGGTAATCCAGGTCCGTGGTGAGCTGCTCTAACGCCATAGCGTAGAGCTGGGCGGTTGCTTCCGTATTAAGCGTGTTGACATGCCCTTCGCCGGGTTGCTCCGCGTCCGTGAACGGTCCAATCTTGAGAGGAAGCACCTTCTCGTCGAGGAAGGCTCGCACAACATCCCCCACCACAGTCTCCAGCCACACCTCCGCCTGCTCATCAATCAACACACGCACGCCCTCCTCAGCGTCGGCGTCGTTTGCTGCGATAACCGCGGTCGCTGCTGCACTCCGACGAACGCCGCCGTTGCTGTCCGCCGCACCCCGGTAGCTCTCTGCGACGGCGGTGGAGGCGAGTGTTTCGAGTGTCAGCGGCAGCTCCATCAGCATCTCACCCATGTCCCGCACCGCACTGCTCGGAGCCACCTGGCTCTGCGTCGGGAGACCCAACTGCTTGGCCGAGGCGGCGGCAGCCCCGCCCTGTGCGCCGGGGCTGCCGACACGCGTAGCATTGTCGTGGTTGCCCCAGCACGGCAGCGCCGTGTAGCTTTCCACCTTCGCCAGAATCGGCCGTGTAATGCCATGCAGGATGCCGAGCTGCGTGGCCCGCTGCGCCGCCTCCACCTCCGTCTTCAACGGCGTCCACAGACGCGTCTGCAGGTCTGCACGGAGCAGCCCCGCGCTGGTCGGGTAGCGCTCCTGCATCGCACCGGAAGACAACCAGTCCTCCACCGCCTGCTGCGTCTTGGCCAGCAGCGGCTTGATGCGCTCCTTGTACAGGTAGAGGTGCTGGAGAAGGACGTGCTGGGAAGCGCCGGGCGTGGGTTGGAGCTGCTGGGCGAGCGTGTTGGACAGCTCCGCGTGCCATGCTGCGGTGCAGCGAGCGCTGATTTTTTCAGGGACGTACACCAGCACCTCCTGTGCGGCCTGAGTCAACACCTGCGCCAGAGAGTCGTCGTAGGACGAGGCAGGGCCTGAAGAGGAAGAAGGGGAGGAAACAAGAATCTTGGTGAGTGGCTGCGCGCAGTAGACGCGGACCGGCGTGCAGACGCGATCGGCGTAGCGCGTCAGCATCTTCTCCTCTTGGAAGAGACTGGCAAAGAGAGCCACGGCGCGATGTGTGACTTCTCTCGCCAGCTTCTCGAGCGGGTCTTTCGCCGTAGCCCCCGCTGCAGACGACGCAGGGAGACTCGCGGCGTTGACCGATATTTTGATCTGCTGCGTGGCGGTAAAGCAGGCGACAAAGTCTTTGTTGGTCGTGTCGGGCCGCTCCGTCAGCAGCGTCTGCAACACCGTCTGCACCGGGACGTACAGCTTTGCGAGGAGCACCTCAAGCACCTCGAGTACCTGCACCGCTCGCGCATCGTCTTCCAACGCATGGCTGCTGCTGGAGGAGGTACCTTTTGCACTTGGTGATGATACATCGTGACCTCCACCGTCTTTTGCAGCAAACGTCCCAGCGCTGGGTGGCGGAGACGTGCGCAGGGGCGTGCTGGACCCGTCGCTTTTACCCGTGCCGCCTTCCGCTGTCGTCGAGGCGGCAGAAGGTGTGGTGCCTCCTTCTTCCACGGCTGATGCTGCTGCGGCTGCACCGCGGACGAGATGGGCCAGAAAAGTAAGCTCCTGCGAGAGAAAGACACTGTCGTCAGGGATGATTTCATCTCGCAGCAACTCGGCCACCACCGCTGCGGCCGCGTTGCGACCGCTTTTCACGCCGTCGTTGCCTCCGTCGAACACCGCACGTAGTTTCGCGGCTTGCTGCTCGACCATCTGTGTCGCCGCCTGCTCCCCGTAGCGCCGCAGCACCGCATCTGCGCGGCCAATGCTATGAAGCGTCGTAATCAATCGTGTTGCCCGCTCCAGTTGGTGGGTGCGCAGACACGCCACGCACTCCTCCTCCAGCGCCTGCTCGATGTACTGCTCGAACTGTTCCAGCTGAGCTTTGTACTGCTCACCGAAAGTGTCATCGACGGCGGTGATCTCTTTCAGATCGTCGCGGGCTTGGCGAATGATAGCGGCTACTTCATCGAGGTCGCGCTGACGCGTTGCTTTTGTCGTTGTCGCCGACGCCTTGCCAGCTGCATCAGCCCCGTTGTTCCGTAGATCAGCGCTGGACAGCGTCCCGTGATTATTGTTGTTGCTGCTATCGCTCTTGTTTTGATGACCAGCATTAGCTTCGCGATGTTCGACCAGGTACTGAATATTGCGGATGCTCTCCTCGACTCGTGCCGCCTTCTCCAGCAGCCGCATGCACTTCCGCAGCTTCATCTCCGATGCCTTGCGGACGTGCAGCTGGGCGACGTAGGCGTCTGATTTCGCATTCACTGCCGGCTTCACGATGTCCTCAATGGACTTCAGCTGCCCGGTGAGTTCGCCAGCCTCGGTACTCATGCGAGAGAGCTCCATCGTGGTGCGGGGTAGTCGGACCAGCGTGTTGGAGACGAGGTCCTCGATACTGGCGCTTAGCTCTTGGTGATGCGTCTGCACCCGTGCCAGTAGCAGCTGCACGAGCGGCTCCTCCACCTGCGGCGACTTGCGCGGCGCGGTGCTCGTGCCAGTGTTGCTGCTGCCGCTGCTGCGCGCTTCACCGGATGTGATCGGTGTGTCCTTCGCCGCCTCCAGCACCCGTGACAAGGTCGCGTTGAGCCACCGCCTTACGTCGAGGTCGTCGCGGCTTAGCTGACGGAGGTCATCCGTGATGACGCTGCTGACCTTCGCCGTGCACTCTGGCGGAAGACCCGTGACCCCCGTGGCGGGGGTTAACGCAGCCGTCGCGGCCACAGGTGTGTGGTGCAATGACGGCGGTGAAGTGAAAAGAGACTTCTCAACTCTCGCAGAGGAAGACTCTAAGGACATTTATCTTTTTCCTTTTCTGTTCTGTTGTGGTCGTTGAGTTTCTCTCGTCGCTGCGCGGTGCTCACCCGTTTTTTTAAAAGTCAAGAGCGAGTTAGAGCAAAAACGTAGCGCGATACAATATCTGTAGAAGAAGAGAAGAGGCGAGGAGGTGTGAGGGAGGAGGAGAAGACCCACTCAGAACATCCACGATGCGCAGCGGGCATCACAGTTTCAATTTAGAAAAGGACGATGAAAGGCACGAACTACCGTCGCCGCTCCTCTTTCCGTCCGTTTCAGGTAAAGGCAGAAACTGGCATTTATTGGTGCAACGGAGGAGAACAACACATCGGATTCCACCTTCAAATGATTGCCAGCGGCCTTTATACTGTTTCTTCTTCTCTTACAACGCAGTACTGGTCCTTTCACACAACGGGAGCACAGCGGCTATTTCCAACTACTCAAAACTACCAAAAGGAAAAGAAAACAGGCCAGTTTGTGGTGCACCTGTGCAAATGCGCAAACAGCTAACACGTTTCCCTCCTCACCGCGTCAACCCTCCCCTCCCTGAGAAACACAACTCGTTCCAACAACGTTCACTCACAGACACGACTTCAGACCCCACACCCGCCACGCCGACAGCACGGCGGATTGGTGAATGTTAAAGATAGGGCTTGTTGTGCGCAACACGCTGGCCTCTGCCGCCGGCGACGGACCTGGAATATCGAGCACCACCCCGTAGCTGCCCGTCACACGGCGCATAGGCAAATAGGACTGCGCAAACGCCCGCGCCAGATAACTTGGGCTTGACAAAGGCGAAGCTGCCTCATCCTTCGCCACGGATGCCGTGGCGTGCGTTAGGTACTGCAGGTTCTGTGCCGCACTCATCCCAGAAAGAGAGTAGCAGGTGTGGTAGGTGTCATGGGCGGTGCCCGGCTTGTCCATGAGACCACCAACCCCTGCGTCTTGGCAGCACCGCAGCACGTAGTCCTGCAGCTTGCGCTGATTAAAGTAGTAGTCGCCCACATCGGCGTAGAGGAAGGCCTGGCGCCTGTGAAAGGTGCGAACCCGCTCGTCGGGAATGTCTTTCGCCGCCTCCGATTGTGCCGCCGGTGAAGCGCTAGCAGGGTCGTGCGCCTTCAAAATGTCGTCGTAGAGGGCGGACCACGCCGAGCGCTTCGCCGACGCAGCACGAAGGCAGTCGTCGTCCGCGCCAAGAAACTGATCGACGAGGTCGACGCGTCTGCTGTGGTCAGCTTCCGCGCGATCCCAGGCTGCGGTCTCGGTGGTCTGGATCAGCTTCGCGTCGAGCAGCTGTGCGTGATCTAACAACACAACTTCCTTCGCGAGCAGGTAGGCCGACGAGGCATCCACAGCAGCCTTCTCCGCCTCCTCGCCGTCTTCTGCGGCGGACCCGCGGGTGTTACGCTCCTCCTCCGTACGGGCTGGGAAACACTTCGTGTAGGCTTCCACGGCGCGCAGGAGAACGTGCGACGCACCGATCCAATGCGAGTAGCAGGAGTCGACGAGCTTATTAGTGCGCCCGCTAAACCCGCCCTCGCAGTTGAGCTGACGAGCTGCCAGCCACCGACGCAGCGACGACTGATGGAGCAGGTTGGGTTGTTTCATCAGCAGCAGTGCCGCCAGCCCACATTGGGTATACGCACCATGCGCCTCGGACGCGGTAGAGGCACACGTGAAGCCGCCCTCGTGTGTTTGACAGGCGGCCACAAACCTCGCTGTTTGCAGCGTCAGCACCGGCTCATACTGCACATCCTCCACGTACTCACGTGGGGCACGAAAAGCAGCGCCCGCATCGGCATCATCGGCATTTTCAATGTCATCATCTTCGACGGCGCGACGACAGCGTGCGAGGTCAAAGGTAGAAGGGTCGTCGAGGCACAGCAACGAGGTGATGACGGCGACGCAGTAGGACGCGCGGATGTCCGACTCCCCTCCGCCGTGCACGCGGAAGCTGCCGTCCTCGTTGCGCAGCGTCAGCAGCCACCGCTTGATCGCCGCCCGGGGCAGCCGCCGGATGGCGGCACCCTTGTCGTAGACGGACAGCACCGCCAGCGCACAACACGCCGCGTAGGAGGCGGCCAGGTGCGGGAGCTGATGCACGGGACCACCTGCAAAGCCGATTGCCGGACGTTCCGCGCCGTCTGCGACAGTTGCCGCGCTGTAGCCGATTTTCCTTTCGTCCCCTTCCCCGGTAGGAGTGGATTTCTGCGTGGAGTCCTCTGCCAGGACAGCCGCCGCGTTCAGCTCTGCTTCACAGGTCGTATCACGGCTCAAGCAGCTGTACAGAAACGCGGCGATGTCCGCCGCAGGCGTGCGCGGGAGCAAGTCGGTCTCGACTGCGCCCAGCAGGTCCACGGCCTGCAAACACCAATATGCCACCCATGGCCGCGAGGGATACATGCCTTGCAGAGTGTTGGGGAGATTCTGAATATGGGTGCTGGCGTACGCAACGTGCGCCGCACGATGAAGCTGCGCTTCTGCGTAGTGGAAGGGAGTCGTTCCTGCTGTGGCTGCTGCTGCCGCCTGTCGTTGTTCCTTCATTGAGGCGGGAGAAGGAGAGGCATCATTCTCTGTAGCCGATCCAGTAGTGCTCTCTGAGTCATCGCCCGATTTGTTGTGGTCGGGGTGGTCGCACCAGAGCGCGTAGAGATGAGGGTTGGTACTGCGGAGGTGATCCAGCAGGAGCAGCTCCGTGCTGCGCTGCGCTTCAATGGTGGTTGTCTCAGGTGCCAGGTTCATCCTGTGTACGTGTGTGAGAGAGGGCGTGTAGCAGTAAACACCTTTATTGAGAGAGACCAGCAATGGACTGTACTGCGAGTGAGAACAGCAGTGGAAACACAACAACAATACACACGGCAGAGAAGGTAACTTTTGGCGTGCTGAACGCAATGCTGTCGTGGCCTCCGCAGCTCAAATCACACGCCAGCAAGACAAGTACTTTGACACGGTGCTGAGAAAGATATGATGGTACAAGCACAGTAGTATGTGGAACAGCAGCAGCAAAATAAAGAGAGATACATCAGGAGGAAGAAAAAAAAGCAAGGAATAAGATCCTGCATTGGATTTCGCATATTTGGCTGCTTCAAAGGCGGTAGGAGGGTGTTTTTGAATCGCCGTGATGTTGCAACTCAGCGCAGTCGACGCGGAGACATCACACACGAAAGTAAACCCAACAGAGAAACAAGAGAGAGCGAACACACGCAACCGATGTTTCTGCATTCACTCAAGCATGGAATAAAAGCCACATGATATGGACAGCTGACCGAGACTCACGCGAAAGGACACGGAGGCGGAGCGAAGGACCTGGCCGTTTATTTCCAGCTGTGTTTCTCATGCCTTTCTTCGTCCCTAAAAAAAAAAACCCGAGAGAAAACGAGGATGCCTCACTCCCCCCCCCCCTCCAGCTCTCCTTCCTCACTCTGCGTCTCGGTCGTGCCTGCTTTAATGGATCGACTATCCTTAAATAATAATAATACTGCTTCATAGGAGAATAACAGGAGATAGATCTAACCGTAGAGGCATCCACAACCGTAGAATACAAATAACACGATCATCACCATCGGCAGCAGCACACACACGCGCATACTTCACCGCCATGTATGGCTGAGAAGGAAACACACATCACCAATAATAAATATATTCAGGAAATCTACCACCAACACGAGCAAAGATGCTCACACTGCGTATATGGAGTAGAAGAAAAGAAAAAAGACTCGAGTATCCAAAATAGAAAACAACGTCAATTCGAACGAGAGACACGCAAAGAGAGCGAGAGAGAGGGAGGGAGGGCAATAAAACCAAAGTAGCAAGAGATGATCGTTACGGTACAGCGCTGAAAGAGAAGTAACAAAACAATGAAAAAAAAAAAAGAATACGTCGACAAGGAGCTGCAGTCATCGCGGAGAGAAATGAGAGACCTTCTAAAAAAAAAAAACCCCAACCGTCAAGACAAGCATCTCTCGCTTCATACACGCACCACATACAAGGCTAGAGCAAGAGGCGGGCAGAAGACTTTAAACTCGTTTCAGCGCACCGTAGAGGGAGAGAGAGAGAAAAAAAAACTTTGCTAAAATCAATCAGCTGTCTCAATTATTCACGGCGCAGGCTTCTGCGGATTCGACGCATCCGGCAATAGGGTCTGACGCGCCTTCATCTCCTGCATCTCCCGCTCAAGGGCGCCGTGGCTGTCCGGCGGGGACGCGTACATGTTGCTGCCCTCTCGTTGATTGGCATTCGAAACGGTGGTGGTCGGCATCGAAGGAATCGACGGCGCCCCGTACGTGGCAACCTCGCCGTTTACGTTGTAGTGCGCCGCATAGTTGTTGCTGCCGTTGCTGCCTGTCGTCGCGACACCAGTGTGCGACTTGAGCCGGTTCGAGCGCAGCGTGTCGATCGCCTTATCGATGATGTTCTTGCTTACGTTCGCCATCGCGTTGTCTCGCCTGCAGATGCATACGCAAATAACAATGAGCGTGATGACCACGACAGCGAGGAGGACGCCAAACACGGCGTACACCTCCGCGGTGTTGTAAGAGATGTTCGTGATGTAGCCCAACCCTCCCGATGTGGTGTTCTTGTCGGGGTCGTAGGTGCCGGCGAAGCTCGACACGGCGAGCTGCTTGACCACCTTCAGACCGTCCAGGTTCACAAGATTGGGCGATGCGACGGTGGAGCCATTCCAGCTGGGGAAGCGCATCTGGACGAAAACATAAGGGTAACTTGGGTCATCGTTAAACTTGGTACCATTGAGGCAGGAGAGGGAGCTGTTCAGCTCCGTCGTTGTCTTGGCACACCAACCGACCATGATCACCTTGTCCATGCTCGTGATGGCCGTGTCGGCGGCGGCGTACAGTGGGTAGGCACTCACGACGAAGCTGCGGGCGTTAAAAACGCTCGGCGTCGTGTTGACGATCATCACCACCATCTTTCCGGAGTCGATCGTGTTCACAGTGATGTCGTTGTTTGCGTAGGCGGTTGCGTTGTAGGTCACATCAGCGGCGGACACGGAGAGCGCGAGGACGGCGAGCAGGAGACCGAGGGTAACACTGAGAAAGGTGTCGAGGCGAGACCCGGCGTGCCCTCGCTTTGAGGTGGCGTTGCTCGAAGAGATCATTCTTGCTTCCTGGCAGTGTGCGTATGTATCACCGCTGTTTGCTATATCCTCCAATTAAATGGTAGCGTGAGCAACAACAAAAGAGAGTAACCTGTAGGAGCTAAGAGAGAGAGAAAAAGATAAAGAAGACGCTGAATACATCACGTCGCTGTGCTTGACGATCATCCACAAGCTCATAAGTGAAGCAACGAAGGGAAAACAAAACAACGAGTATCACATACATACGAAGTGCCCTAAGAAGGCAATTTTACGCAGTGACGTCATCAACTTTACGGCCTTGTGTTTCTCGTCGTCGTATGTCATCAGGACCCAGCACACGGCACGGTGTCGTGAAGAATCATTGTCATTAATAGTCTTATTTTCGACTCAAGAGTGTATGGGTAGAGTCATAATAAACGGAAAAAGAACCCTGTTATCTCTCCCCTCAACATTATAAGTTTTGTTTAGGAGAGAAGTTGAATAAAGAGACCCGCTAGCATAATAAGAAGAGCAATAATAATACAATTAGTAGTAGCACTAGTTAAGACATGTATGTCAGAAAGCAATTTTATCTACCGTAGATCAGCATCACCCTTGCGCTTCCGTGGCGGCACGCGACTCTTCGCGTATTCGTTGATCGCGTACATCGTCTTCAACATACGCTCCGCCTCTGCAAAGAACATGTCCGTGCCCACCAATATCGTCAGCACCATGTTCACGTCGTGGCTCAACGTGCTGTCTTCAATGCGCTCGTGCTCCAGGCTGCGACGCGCAATGAAGGCGCGGCGCTCCTCTTCCTGCGCCTGCCGCTCGTACGGGTCCAGCACCTTCTCAAACTCCGCCTGCTCCTTCGCGCGCTGGTGCTGCTCTGACACTTCGTCCACGTTCTCGCCGCCGTCGCCGCGGCCGTCCGCACCGCGCTCCGACACGTCTCGTCGCACCAGCCGCGAGTTGCGCCGCTCCGTCGCGCGCACAAGCGCCATCGACTCCGCAATCGTGCGCGCGATGCTGCCGTTCGTCACGGCTGGCGTCTCGTCTCCGTCGTGTGCTGGCGCTGCCGATGCCCCGCTCACGATGGACGCATTGCGCACGGTGGAGCGCCGCCGCACTGCACGCGCGCTGCCCAGCGGGCTGGCGTCACTCAGCGGGTTCTCGTGGCCGCGTGTGCTGACCGGCGCTGGCGCGTCCGCCGGATCAAAAGCATCGGGCTGGTGGACAGACACGTCAGCATCGGCTGTGCCGGGGGTGGGGGTGGGGGCGAGCTGAACGTTCTGCCGCTCCCCACGCCGTGCAACCGGCATCCGCACGAAGCTCTCTGACGGCTGCACCGCGAAGCTGAGGTCGCGTGCCCGCTCAAGCGTCAGCGGGTCAACGACGCGCGTCATCGCCGCCGCAGCAAACGTGCGGTTCATCACTCTCTCGCGGAAGTTCGCACGGAGCGCTTTCACGTTGCGCCGGTGCGCCGTCCAGAAGGCGTGGTGCAGGTCACGGCTGAGCGACAGAAACAACGAGAAGTGGTAGGTGGTGAGTGTCGGTGACCACTCGTGCGGTGTGGAAAAGGCGTCGAGGAAGTCCTGGAAGAGTACACGACTCGCCTCATCCACCATCTGCATCACCGGTGCTACAGCCTCAACGATGTGCTCCACATCGGGGCGACGCCGCGGTACATTGTCATTGAATAATGCGGATAGTGAAGTGCTGATGACGTCGGTGGCGGAGCCCAAGCGGCGCAGCGAGCTGTACATGTCACGCATCGCTTGCAGCGGGTACGGATTGCCCAGCGGCGCAGGGTCGGCCGCTGCTTTCGGTAGCCACATGCCCACGTTGTTCAATGCCATCCACATTGAGATACGAGAGGCGCGAATACTCGTGACCTCCGCCTTCATCGCGGCAAACTGCTCCGGGTCGTCCGGGGAGAACGGCTGGCCGATCACGTCCACCAGCCGACTGAAGCGATCCGCGACGGACGTGATCGCCTCTACTTGTGAGTTGTAGGTGACACGCAGCACGTCGATGGGAAAGATGAAGACGACAATGGCGTAGTAGGACATGACGGTGAAGCAGTTGCTCACAATGCGACTCAGCAACACCAGCTTCGTACCGGCGCTGTTCAGGGCGGTGATGACGAGTATGCTGCAGTACTGTGCGGTGTGCGCGTAGGGATGGCGGTCACGGAAGCACAAGGAGATGAAAACAGCGGCCACCGCAATTGCCAGCTCCCCCGCCAGATTCGGCGTGTGCCAGATCGCCACGTACGCGATCGAGCACGCACACGCCATACCCGTCACACGGTACACCGACGCCTCCATGGTGTCGCCAGCGGTGGGCCAGCCCACACCCATCAGGATGGCCATGCCGAAGTAGTAGATGTTGTCGGGGTCGATGTTCTCCGTGAACATCGCACCAACGCCGTACGCGCAGGCCATCTTGATGGCGTCCTTGAAGATGCGCACGTCGCGCGGCGTTGCGAGGGTCATGCGCTTCGGCAGCTCCTCCCAGAAGTCCCGCCAGTAGTCGTAGAAGAAGAACTCCCAGGTGCGCCGCAGCTGCGACTTGTACTGGCTGCGGTCGAAGTTATGCATGCGCTCGCCGTACTCCAGTAGCCGCTCAGCGAGGACGACAAGCGAGAGGTGGAACGCAAAGACGTTGCTGTAGAGGAAGGGGTCCACGGGCGTCTCGGACTTGATCAGCGCCTCGAAGTGCACCTCGTCCAGCTTCGACTGCAGATCCGTCGCGGCCTCGCGCAGGTCGGCAAACGGCACCGTCTGCGCAGTCTCGTGTGGGTTGAGGTGCTTGCCGAGGCCCTCCAGCACCGCATCCAGCGCGTCCAGGTAGTGCTGCACGGGCTGCTTCAGAATCTCGCTCGTGCGGTCCCACTGCCGCGTCCGAAACTGCATCACCAGCAGGCCCGAGTTCTGCTGCGGGAGACCCGACTGCTCCTCGCCGTCCGCCCCGTCCGCCCCGTCCGCCCCGTCCGTCGGCTCCGCACCGGCCACGTTCTTGAGGAACTCGTCCCTCTCCGCTTCGCGGCGCTGACGTCGCTGCATGTCGGCAACATCGCCGCAGCTATCCGCGTCGCCCGCCGCGCCGTACGGCTCGCGACTCTGCAGGTCCATCCTCGCACCGCCGCGGGTCCCGTGTCCGTCGGCGGCCTCACAGGACGAGTGCTCACCACCCTCCGGCTTTGCTGCCGGCGAGTGCGAGCCGCCACCCTGCGTGCGCTTCACGTGTGCGCGGTGCACGCGCTTCAAGACCATCGCGCGTGCGGTGTCCGTCATGGTGTGCAGCCGCGGCATGCAGATCTGCATCACCGTCAGCCGCTCGCGGCGCAGCTCCAGCCGCAGCGTGCTCTCCCAAAACTCGTACATCACGAAGAACAGCTTCGACGGCAAGGTGGCGAGCACAGATTGGATGGGCTCCGTGCCGATGTGCGTCAGTGCGATGGCGCACTCGATGGGGTCCTCCGACCAGCACGCCGTGACGCAGTTGCGTGCGATGCGTCCGATGTGCTTCCAGCCGCCAGCCATCATTTCGTCGCAGTCCCTTGCGATGGACTTCACCGGGAAGAGACACTGGAAAAATGCGAAGCCTGTCGCCATGACTAAGTCCCGACCCACCTTCACTGGGTAGATCAGCTCCGTACCGCCCGGTAGGCTCTCCATCTGAAGAATGAGGACACACTGCAGCATTACGACACGTCGTGACCGCACATCACCAAACAGGCTGATAAAGAAGACACAGAATATGACGCTGCACCACCAGCCAGCGGGGTGGGTGTGAATGTGCCATGCGTTGTTCAGCACGCCCCACGTAATCATCGCAACAGCGCACTGCAGCGAGCATATGTTAAAGGCCACCTGCTCCCCGAATGTGTAGCGGCAATCCACAATACCCCACAGCGGAATCACCACGTGTGCGGGGAACACGTTCATGAGGTTTGGATGGCGAGCGAAAACACCCAACGGGAGTGCGACCATGAACGTGATGCGGAGGGCGTAGAAGATGGCCATGTACACCTGCGGTGAGAAGAGCGCAATCCAGTACGAGCGCAGACTCAACGTGTCGCTTGTCGGGTCATGGTGGCCGTCCAGAGGCGGCCGGACTCCGGACCTCTTTGCCTTTGCTAGCCCAATGACGTCGTTTCCGGCGGCGCGGCCTTTACCGCTGACGGATAACTTATCCTTCACGTTTCGGTCATCGGTGTTTTCACCCGCCGCGGGAGAAGTTGCTTTGTCAGAAGACTCCTCAGGTGTGGTGGAGGATTCATAGGTGCTGCTACACTCGGAAACTTCCGCTTCCGGTTGTTGAGCACGGAAGAGCGAGCTGAGGTTAATAGTGTCCATGCCAAGCGCGGAGGTCACACAGCAGACTTTTAATTAACTGGTCTTGCCTGCGTCTTTCACGCGATGACAGTGCACGAGCAGCAGCCGAGAGTAGAAGGTAAAACAAAACAGAAGTGGTTGTCATGTGGGCCAAACGAACATAGCGTTGCAGAAGAGAAAGAGACAGAGGGAGTAGAGACCTGAAAAGGAAGGGCCAATCAACAGCGCATTTTTGTGCGTGCAGCTTTCCTGCCTTGTTGACGACAGCGGCTAGCCTTGCGAGGCCGGCAACTCATCCAATGAAGAAACCTCCACATCGGATAAACACGCCTATTCAGTGGGTAACCTCCAAACAAACACCTCCACGTTTTCTTTCATCGACACTGTGTCCTCCCCTCCTTTAAGAAAACAACATTACGTTATCCATCATCGATGTCTTAGCTTTTGGTCTTTTCATTTGCGACTTACATCTGAAAACTATGAATGAGCACTGAGGTTAAACACGCTGCAGTCTTCTTCCTAGAACGTTGTCTTTTGAGGTTCAGGGGAACAGCTTACGAAAGAAAACACACACACGATCTTCTACCATTGAGAAAAGAAAAAGAAAAACGAGTTAAAATCAAAAACAGTTACAGAGCGCTTTCATGGGCTTTCCGTTTTAACAGCAGCATCACCCTTGCGCTTCCGTGGCGGCACGCGACTCTTCGCGTATTCGTTGATCGCGTACATCGTCTTCAACATACGCTCCGCCTCTGCAAAGAACATGTCCGTGCCCACCAATATCGTCAGCACCATGTTCACGTCGTGGCTCAACGTGCTGTCTTCAATGCGCTCGTGCTCCAGGCTGCGACGCGCAATGAAGGCGCGGCGCTCCTCTTCCTGCGCCTGCCGCTCGTACGGGTCCAGCACCTTCTCAAACTCCGCCTGCTCCTTCGCGCGCTGGTGCTGCTCTGACACTTCGTCCACGTTCTCGCCGCCGTCGCCGCGGCCGTCCGCACCGCGCTCCGACACGTCTCGTCGCACCAGCCGCGAGTTGCGCCGCTCCGTCGCGCGCACAAGCGCCATCGACTCCGCAATCGTGCGCGCGATGCTGCCGTTCGTCACGGCTGGCGTCTCGTCTCCGTCGTGTGCTGGCGCTGCCGATGCCCCGCTCACGATGGACGCATTGCGCACGGTGGAGCGCCGCCGCACTGCACGCGCGCTGCCCAGCGGGCTGGCGTCACTCAGCGGGTTCTCGTGGCCGCGTGTGCTGACCGGCGCTGGCGCGTCCGCCGGATCAAAAGCATCGGGCTGGTGGACAGACACGTCAGCATCGGCTGTGCCGGGGGTGGGGGTGGGGGCGAGCTGAACGTTCTGCCGCTCCCCACGCCGTGCAACCGGCATCCGCACGAAGCTCTCTGACGGCTGCACCGCGAAGCTGAGGTCGCGTGCCCGCTCAAGCGTCAGCGGGTCAACGACGCGCGTCATCGCCGCCGCAGCAAACGTGCGGTTCATCACTCTCTCGCGGAAGTTCGCACGGAGCGCTTTCACGTTGCGCCGGTGCGCCGTCCAGAAGGCGTGGTGCAGGTCACGGCTGAGCGACAGAAACAACGAGAAGTGGTAGGTGGTGAGTGTCGGTGACCACTCGTGCGGTGTGGAAAAGGCGTCGAGGAAGTCCTGGAAGAGTACACGACTCGCCTCATCCACCATCTGCATCACCGGTGCTACAGCCTCAACGATGTGCTCCACATCGGGGCGACGCCGCGGTACATTGTCATTGAATAATGCGGATAGTGAAGTGCTGATGACGTCGGTGGCGGAGCCCAAGCGGCGCAGCGAGCTGTACATGTCACGCATCGCTTGCAGCGGGTACGGATTGCCCAGCGGCGCAGGGTCGGCCGCTGCTTTCGGTAGCCACATGCCCACGTTGTTCAATGCCATCCACATTGAGATACGAGAGGCGCGAATACTCGTGACCTCCGCCTTCATCGCGGCAAACTGCTCCGGGTCGTCCGGGGAGAACGGCTGGCCGATCACGTCCACCAGCCGACTGAAGCGATCCGCGACGGACGTGATCGCCTCTACTTGTGAGTTGTAGGTGACACGCAGCACGTCGATGGGAAAGATGAAGACGACAATGGCGTAGTAGGACATGACGGTGAAGCAGTTGCTCACAATGCGACTCAGCAACACCAGCTTCGTACCGGCGCTGTTCAGGGCGGTGATGACGAGTATGCTGCAGTACTGTGCGGTGTGCGCGTAGGGATGGCGGTCACGGAAGCACAAGGAGATGAAAACAGCGGCCACCGCAATTGCCAGCTCCCCCGCCAGATTCGGCGTGTGCCAGATCGCCACGTACGCGATCGAGCACGCACACGCCATACCCGTCACACGGTACACCGACGCCTCCATGGTGTCGCCAGCGGTGGGCCAGCCCACACCCATCAGGATGGCCATGCCGAAGTAGTAGATGTTGTCGGGGTCGATGTTCTCCGTGAACATCGCACCAACGCCGTACGCGCAGGCCATCTTGATGGCGTCCTTGAAGATGCGCACGTCGCGCGGCGTTGCGAGGGTCATGCGCTTCGGCAGCTCCTCCCAGAAGTCCCGCCAGTAGTCGTAGAAGAAGAACTCCCAGGTGCGCCGCAGCTGCGACTTGTACTGGCTGCGGTCGAAGTTATGCATGCGCTCGCCGTACTCCAGTAGCCGCTCAGCGAGGACGACAAGCGAGAGGTGGAACGCAAAGACGTTGCTGTAGAGGAAGGGGTCCACGGGCGTCTCGGACTTGATCAGCGCCTCGAAGTGCACCTCGTCCAGCTTCGACTGCAGATCCGTCGCGGCCTCGCGCAGGTCGGCAAACGGCACCGTCTGCGCAGTCTCGTGTGGGTTGAGGTGCTTGCCGAGGCCCTCCAGCACCGCATCCAGCGCGTCCAGGTAGTGCTGCACGGGCTGCTTCAGAATCTCGCTCGTGCGGTCCCACTGCCGCGTCCGAAACTGCATCACCAGCAGGCCCGAGTTCTGCTGCGGGAGACCCGACTGCTCCTCGCCGTCCGCCCCGTCCGCCCCGTCCGCCCCGTCCGTCGGCTCCGCACCGGCCACGTTCTTGAGGAACTCGTCCCTCTCCGCTTCGCGGCGCTGACGTCGCTGCATGTCGGCAACATCGCCGCAGCTATCCGCGTCGCCCGCCGCGCCGTACGGCTCGCGACTCTGCAGGTCCATCCTCGCACCGCCGCGGGTCCCGTGTCCGTCGGCGGCCTCACAGGACGAGTGCTCACCACCCTCCGGCTTTGCTGCCGGCGAGTGCGAGCCGCCACCCTGCGTGCGCTTCACGTGTGCGCGGTGCACGCGCTTCAAGACCATCGCGCGTGCGGTGTCCGTCATGGTGTGCAGCCGCGGCATGCAGATCTGCATCACCGTCAGCCGCTCGCGGCGCAGCTCCAGCCGCAGCGTGCTCTCCCAAAACTCGTACATCACGAAGAACAGCTTCGACGGCAAGGTGGCGAGCACAGATTGGATGGGCTCCGTGCCGATGTGCGTCAGTGCGATGGCGCACTCGATGGGGTCCTCCGACCAGCACGCCGTGACGCAGTTGCGTGCGATGCGTCCGATGTGCTTCCAGCCGCCAGCCATCATTTCGTCGCAGTCCCTTGCGATGGACTTCACCGGGAAGAGACACTGGAAAAATGCGAAGCCTGTCGCCATGACTAAGTCCCGACCCACCTTCACTGGGTAGATCAGCTCCGTACCGCCCGGTAGGCTCTCCATCTGAAGAATGAGGACACACTGCAGCATTACGACACGTCGTGACCGCACATCACCAAACAGGCTGATAAAGAAGACACAGAATATGACGCTGCACCACCAGCCAGCGGGGTGGGTGTGAATGTGCCATGCGTTGTTCAGCACGCCCCACGTAATCATCGCAACAGCGCACTGCAGCGAGCATATGTTAAAGGCCACCTGCTCCCCGAATGTGTAGCGGCAATCCACAATACCCCACAGCGGAATCACCACGTGTGCGGGGAACACGTTCATGAGGTTTGGATGGCGAGCGAAAACACCCAACGGGAGTGCGACCATGAACGTGATGCGGAGGGCGTAGAAGATGGCCATGTACACCTGCGGTGAGAAGAGCGCAATCCAGTACGAGCGCAGACTCAACGTGTCGCTTGTCGGGTCATGGTGGCCGTCCAGAGGCGGCCGGACTCCGGACCTCTTTGCCTTTGCTAGCCCAATGACGTCGTTTCCGGCGGCGCGGCCTTTACCGCTGACGGATAACTTATCCTTCACGTTTCGGTCATCGGTGTTTTCACCCGCCGCGGGAGAAGTTGCTTTGTCAGAAGACTCCTCAGGTGTGGTGGAGGATTCATAGGTGCTGCTACACTCGGAAACTTCCGCTTCCGGTTGTTGAGCACGGAAGAGCGAGCTGAGGTTAATAGTGTCCATGCCAAGCGCGGAGGTCACACAGCAGACTTTTAATTAACTGGTCTTGCCTGCGTCTTTCACGCGATGACAGTGCACGAGCAGCAGCCGAGAGTAAAAAATCAAACAGGAGTGGTTTATTATGTTAGCTAAGCCAAGATACCGTTTTACCAGAGACGTAGACGCAGTGAGCGGAGGCGGGAAAGCTGAGTTATGCAAAGAAGAATATCCTCTTGCGACCTATGTGGCAGAGGAAGCGGTCAGCTGTCTCGTTGACGGTTGAAACAACAACAAAAAAAGCCCTTTGTTACTGTTCAAAGCAGCGAGCGTGGTCAACGGGTTGTGAAACTGAATCCAGACACGATAGTGATGAGAGTGACCGAGATATCGTTATTTAATTTCCTCAGATTTATACTAAAAGTCAGTGGAGAAGGGCGTTTAGAGTAATAATAACAGTAATAATAGTGTTCGTGTGGATCTATTCGTTTCTCTTTCTCCACAAACGATACGCCGCGACAACAAGAGCCAAATATTTCAGATGGAGATCGTATCCCAAGGGCAATGTCCTTGAACACCTACATATACTCGCAGGAATGGTCGCTCTCGACATCAACCGGGCAGCTAGGCTTGTCTATGAATGAGCGAGCAACGATTCGTAGAAAAAAAAAGCCTGTTTAAAAGAAAAAATGGGAACAGAAGCGTGCTACTTTTGAGCTAAGCGGCGATGATGAGTTGCACACACGCATACGCCGAAAGAAGCGATCAAAGGCGTGGTCGTGAAGAAGTTGGAAAAGGGAAGTAGGAGGAGATTCACATCACACGAGCAAGGAGGTGCAGCGAGAGAAAGAACTACTGTGGCGAAGCAGCTGCATGCATGAACAGAAGATGTAAAATGCTGTCCTGTCGTGTAAGGTGCGCGGCGGCAAAGCTGATGCAGCGGAAGTGCTCACGGACAGCCTACAAACGGCGTTGTCCTCACTACGTTGGATTTGTCGGCAAAGGGCAAACGCCTGATCCTCCAGAAGCAGAGGACCAACGAACTTCCGCTCTGCGAACGCGCGCGGGGGAAGGAAGAGCAAGCCATAATAACGCGGCGAGCATCAAATTTTTCTTTTTCATTTTTGCCCGGTAGAAGAAAACCCCAACGTGAGGGCCCCGCGAAGTATTCTTTTCTCTTTTTGTTGTTTCACCCGTACGCTCCGCTTTCACACACCTCAGACACCTAAAACTATTTTCTAGATTTCGTTTCCTGACGAAGACGCGCACATACGGGGAAGCGTTCATGATAAAAATAAGAAAGGAAGTAGTTATACACAAACATCATAAACATCGAGGTAATTTTTTTGTTGTTTGTTTGGATTACATAGAATTACCAAAAGGAAAAGAAACAGAGAATGCAGGAAGAGAAATTCGTCAATATAGGAACGAATCACAACCTGAGATAACAGTAAAAAAAAAGGCTGTTTCTTTTTGTCCAGCTCAGTGAGACCACGCACACGAATACGATGTGACGAAGTGGACTTTTTATTTGGAGGGGAAGGAAAAAGGAAAGGGAGGGTATGCGTGTGTGTGTGTGTGTGTGTGTGTTTGTGATACAGCGTCACATCAACCACGCTTTGGCGGGGCAACAGCGAGCGGCGAAAGTATCTCTGGGCGTTTGTTCGGGTATATAAAGAGAAGACAACTTGCGAAGCACGATCAACATCGTCGCTAAAGCCAGAAGCTTTAAAAAGAATGACTCACAAGAACACTGGAAAGAATGCGAAGGATTTTCTCTTCTTTTTTTTTTAACACAGTCGGAGAGAAGAATCAAAACAAAGGAGAGAGAAGAAAAAACGTGCGATTGTCGACACCCACCATAGCTGGTGGCACCGCTCACGAAGCTTGTAAAGATACTTAAAAAATGAGGAGAGAAACGAAAGGAGCTGCAAATCGACGTAAGTAATTGTAACGTTGCCCATAACGCACAACGTGGCTCTCCCGCAGGTCATGAAGTACGCGACGCGGAGTTTTGAACCACAAAAATCACAAAACACCATCTGGTAGGGCGGAGGAAAAAACGAAAGAGAAGGAAGGGCTGCAATAACAATACTAAAGATCTAAGTCCTTCGTTAGAGGGAGAACGACGCGAGAAAGAGAAGCAGAGAGCACAAATGCACACACAAACACACCGCGCCTGCATAGCAACAATTTTAAGCGTCTACAGTTCCTGAAAGGCGGGCATCGTAACCTTCAGGTACCCCTGCACGGCCACGTTGATGCGCTGAAGGAGGACGCGGGGGTCCCCGCCGCCGAAGCACTTTTCATGGGCGCGACGCAGCGTGCAACCGACCATGCCCTCACAGGTAACCATGGGGTAGTCGTTCTTCACCGCGGCCGGGGTGAGGAGCTGGCGCGGCTGGCCACGTCCGGGACTTTCGTCTACGAGGGACGAGATACATGCCGTGTCGCCCTGGCTAATAATAAGCGTCGCTGGCGGGTTTAAAAACTTTAGCTGATTCGCCTTCATCATGCGCATGTACACCGGCTCAAGGCGCTGCGTGAGAAGTTCGTTGACAACGGCCGGCGATAGCGCGCCTGCAATCCAGGGCAGGGCAAAGCGACCCTGACGTACCGTGTCGGGCTCCTCGAGAAACATCTTATTCATCGACCAGGCCAGTGCCTCCACCGTCGCGGCGTCCTCGGCAGACGTGCTCAGGTTTGTCAGCTTCAGCAGAATGTACATGACGGTGTTCGTCATGTCGCACTTGATGCCCGTGAAGATGAACGGCGCGTCCTTGTACGTAGGCGCCCCAACATCGGAGAGCCAGTCCGGCATGATCGTATAGCACACCCGCCGACCTTGAGGAGCTTTCGGCATGTAGACGACGACGACGTACATTGCCGCGTCGTCGCCCACGCCGCGGACGCCTTCCACCTTTACAAAGACCCCGCGCTCCTCTGAAAACGGGACGACGTTGCCCAGGGCATCCGACGGCGTCGCACCGGCGTCGAGGAAGGCGTTGTTCGCTGCCTTGAGCGTCGACAGACCCTTCATGGTCGGGGTAGTGTCCTTGTGCTTCTTACGGCCTTCGAACACCGCCAGCTCTGCCACCGAGAGCGGCAGCTGCTGCGGCATCTCAAAGAAGGGGGCCTTGATGTTGTCGCTTTCGAGGCGCCAGATCAGGTAACCGAGGACGGTGCATTCCGCCCGCTTGCGGGGCGGGGCGGGCAGGAGGTTGTGCAGCGCCTGCGAGTCCACGCTGCGCTCCATCAGCGTTTGATTGTACTTCTCCGTTGCGCGGCGCTGCTCGTCGGCAATGCGGTCGGCTGGGCGGATGTCCGCGATCATGCGTTCTTGCGAGCGACGCGGGTCTCCCATCTTTACGCGGCATAGATAGTTCCCCGCGAAAAACTTCTTGTTGAGGGGCAGACAGCAGTGGCCAAAGACCAGCGTTGCGTCCTGCGCCGCGCTAATAAACTCGATGATCACCACCGCAAAGGTGTTGTCGCCCACGTCGGCGCTGAACATGCCGCTAAACTGCGGCTCTGCGCTGCTGGAGGTCAGATTCTGAAACACGACGAGGTCGGGTTTGCGCATAAAGAAGCGCGGGTGGTGCAGGGGGTTCACCGGCTTGCCAGAGCTCGGGTCCACCTCATTCGTAACGTACACCAGCAGACGGGTGCAGACGGCGTTGAGGGGGAGCCCCGTCAGGCCGTCGAGGAACACGTCCACGGTCGCGCCCTTCGCGCCGTGCCCGGGAGTTCGCGGTGGGGCCGGCGGCGTGTTGGTGGCCTGGGCCAGACCGAACAGCACACACGGGTTCACCGCTGGCTTCGCGGCGATGTCGAACTTCTCCAGGTTCACGGAGGGCGGGTTGTTCGGGTTCAGCTTGTACCCTGGCGGCACCGCGAGGTTGCCCTGCGGATCCACCACAGGCCGCAGACGCTGCTGTTCGACCAGCGGCACATCCTCACGCGGGACCTTCCCCGAGACCTTCCGCGGGAGCTGCGAACTCGACAAAGACAAAGAGAGGGGGTCCTTGAGGTTGTTGTTGAGAGGCGACGAGTTCTTGGGCCAGGCGTCCGCCGAGGTGAGCGAGTTCTTGGGCGAGGCGAGCGGCTGCTGCGTACTCGGCGGAATAATTGGAGAGGCAGCGGGCGGCGACGCGGCGGCAAATGGCGGGTCGAGGGGCGACGAGTCCCCGATGTGACGCGGCGGCGGTGTGTGCTCCTGGTGCGGTGGTGACCGCGGCGACTCCGCTTTCACCGGGCCCGTCACTGGCTTCGGTGCGTTAGGGAGGCCCGGGGCGAGGGCCGGTGGCACCGTCACGATCGACACGGCGGGTGGCAACGTCACGATCGGCACGGCAGGTGGCGCCGTCTCGACGATCTCGACGTGGTCTTCCGGCTTCACGGAGTCGCGCGCCGATCCTGCCGATATGTTGTCGTCATCGTCATCGTCATCGTCATCGTCGTCGTCGTCTTCCCCCTCGTGGTGCTCTTCGATGATCTCTTCATCACTGCCGCTACTCGGCTCGGGTGGGAGGACCTTCCGCGGGGATCGGCACGGTGACGCCTTCGGCGGAGCTGTTTTGGGTGACTTGTTGCCTTTATTTGCTGCTGCTGCTTTCACTGCGGCCGCTCCGTTGCCCGCCGCCGGGCTTGCGGCGCGCTTCTGGATCTTCGCGAGATGCTTTGCGAGGTGCTCCTGCCACTCCAGGATCGACATGCCCGTTGGCGGGGGCAGAATGAAACGAGCGGCGGGACCTTTATTGGGCTGCAGCACCATCGCGTTCATATCCGCACTCGGGGGCAGGAAAGGTCCTTCGCAGCCCGGCATGCCAGGCAGCAGCGGAAGCGCCTGCGGCGGCGAGGGGAGCGGCGGCAGCCCGGGGAGCTGCGGCAGCATCGGCAGGGGAGGCGACGTGGGTGTGACGGCCATCGCAGAGGAGCTGCCGCTGCTTTGGTTTAGGAAGGACTCCGCGCGTCGCAAGGAGTCACCGGCGTCGGCCTCGATGGAGCCTGAAATGGTGGCGCCCGGCATCATGTTCTGCGGAGACTGCATGGCCTTTGCGAGATCGAAGGCGGAGTCACGCAGGCCCTCCGTGAAGGCGCCACGGTTTGTGGAGAAGATGGTGGCCCAACACAGAAGGCGGCCACGGTAGAGAGTGTGCACGACAAAGACGACCATTTCTTTGGCGTGGTGCACCATGAACTCAATCGGCGGCACGGTGAAGAGCAGTGTCTTGGCTCCGTGGCGGACCAGCGGGGGCGGGCGGCGCGGAAAGCTGCGCTCGACGGACGGCTCCAGCAAATACTCCTCGTTCGCATAGGACATGTAGTACACCTTCACGCTGACATCAACGTCGTCCAGGGGGATGGAGATGTCAACCCCCTCTAACGCGGCGAGCTTCAGCGAGTGCAGACCGGTGTCAAGCGTCGACACCGTTGGAAACGGCGCGTCTGTGCCGTGCCGCGGCGACGTGCTCATCGCCCGCAGACTCCGTAGTTCGTTTTGGACCTCCTGCAGCATCCCGCGTAGTTGCCGCGACGGTGACGAAGCGGGGGGGTTCCTGTGGTGGCTGGTGCGCCGGCGCGTGGAGACGCCGTCTTCGTCGTCGTCGGCGTCGCGCAGCTCCTCGTCCAAGCTGCTCCACGACCTGTCATCGCCGTCGTCCTGATCATACTCCACATCCCTTTCATCGTCATCGTCATCGTCATCGTAGTAGCGCTGTGTGGTGCGGGTGCTCCGACCTTCCCCGACGTACGTTTCTGGTCGCGATTGCTGGGGAGAGCCGTACATGCGAGGAGAGCGCCGATTTGCTGCGTTGCGGGCACTAACAGCACGGCGCGGCTGCGGACGCGCCTTCCTTTTCGGCTGTGGCTGCGGCGTCCGCTGCCAGTGCCGATTGTTGTCGGGCGGCGCATGAGGGTTCAGGGATGTGAGAGCGTCACGCATGGCAGCCATCTCGTTCCGCAGGTACGCCATATCCATGTTGCTGCCCTGCTCCTGCGCCTGCTGGCTAGCGAAGAGCTGCAGCTTCATCTGCATGAGCTGCGACTTCAGTGCTTGCTGTGACTGCTGCAGCTGAGCCTGTCGGGCCGGAATGACAAGGTTCACCTGCTGGTCCAGCATCAGTCGCTCCCGCTCCACCATGTCCACCGCCTGGCGGCTGCGCTGCTGGGCGAGAAGCTGCTCTAATTCCCGCTCCGTGTGGGATAAATAAGGATTGGTAGCCGCGGCCAGAGGTGGGGCGGCCGTCAGCTCGTAGCCGCGGTTCAGGTACCCGCCCGCAACACCCAGCCCGTACGCAGGGTCCGCTGAGGGGCCCTGGTAGCCAGCGGCACCACCACCGGCGCCTCCTGCGAACATCTCGGCTCGTGAAGGCGCCGAGGCGGGTTTCGCAAGCGCGGGAAGCAAGCTTTGCGTGCAGTTACCAGATCGACGGTGAAGTTGGATGTTATAGAGGGTGTCGAAGACAAGACCACAGTCTGGACACGAAGGCATAGGGGGCGAACTGTAATAATAACAACAAACGCAATGAAAAAAGAAGAAGAACAATGAAAGCGTCGAAAGAGTTCACCTTTGACGAAATATATATATTTGTCTCTGCGCGTGCGCACTCGGTGCCTCGACGAATGTTGAAGAGGAAACGAGAGAAGTAAAAACCCTTTGTGCACCGCAAAAGCGAATCAATAAAGATATAGATATGTAATGGATGGAGCCAACCAACAACGTTCAAATACACAGGCAGAATACAGTACCGATTCCGTAGCAGTACACATACAAACGTAAAGACATAAAAAGACAAAGAAAGAGGAGGTATATTTACATAAATAAAAAGCTTGAGGGAGCTGAAATAGAGAATGAAAGGAGGGACACACCGAGAAAAGATTCTGAAAAAAAAAATCGAACCGACAAACAAAGCAAAGAGAAAGAAGAAAACCACACAAACACGGAGATAAAGGAAGGTGTTGGGAAAACAGTTATTAGCTGTTGTTATTCTACGGTGTGAAAGAATCTTTGTCCTTCGCAACTGTGAAAGAATAGCGCGTGTTGCGGGAGAAAGCAGGTGCGCATTGGGTGTGTGAGGTGTTCGGAGGTTGAAAGCAACACAACAAATAAGAAGAGAAAGAAGTGCAAAGGAAGTGTACGCGTGAGAGAGAGAGAGAGAGCATCGCTGAGTACGCCATTGGATACACGTTCCTTTTTGTATTATTAATGTCGAGGAGACGAAGTGACGACAGACTCGCAGATCGACTGAATTGTAGCACCGGCTGACACCAACAACAAAAAATGGTGTGCTGCACAGCTACATCAAGACGACTGAGAGACAGCACGAACAAAACGTTCGAGGTGGAGAGATCGTCACTCTTCTGATGAGAGCAGCCACCGTGGTGTACGACGAGAGCACACCGCTCGTATTTTCTTTCCCATGGTATATATATGTACATACACGTTACGCTAAAAACGAGAAAGAAAACAATGGCAACTAATTGGGCGACAAAAACTACGCTATTTCCCCCTGCTCCATCTACATTGAAAAGAAAAACGAACCACGTAAAATTAAACTCCACACCACAGTTCGTGTGTGCGTGTGAACTACGTATATATCAAACAAGACTCAAAAAAAAAATGAATGATGAAGAAACGAGAGCTTTTCGAGGAGGTCGATGACAACGCAACGGAAGCAAACAAACACAAACGCACAGAAGCGGGTGGTCATCACAAGGCGAAGGTCCTCGAATGCCGCAATACACTAGTGAAAGAAAGACAAATCCGTCAAGGCGGAGGCAAAGCAATACGAGGATGAGAAAACCCAATAGTACACGACGTAGTTTGCCCACCTGAAGAGGAATAATGAAGACAAAGAGAGGGGAAAAACGGTGCGAGCACGGATTACGTTGAATATGCCGTTCTCACTAATCTTGAACACAGACAGAGCGCAGCGTTTGAAATACTTTTTTTTTTTCTCTAACAGCAAAGGCCATCCATCCGTCGTTGCACATTCGGCGAAAGACGGCTGCCCAACGTCGCCGGAAATACAATCAAGAAGAAGAAGAAGAGGCCAGAAAGGAAAACCAAAGCCAACAAGACAAAAGACAAAACCCGATGGAGAAAAAATATCTAAGACGGCTCACTGCACTAGCTTCCGTTGCTACACGTATGATCAGCGGGTTTGCAGAATAAGAGTCGTTTCTTCAGAACGAGAACCACCTTTTCTTCTTTTGTTGTTGTCATATATAATGTGTACGTTTACATCGGTTAGCAAGAAAGAGAAAGTGTCGGTGCCAGTTTACGTCGGCGCTGACTGCTAGTCTCCCGCTCCGTTGTGTCATGCAGCAAATGAAAGCATCGTCATCATTATAAAGAAGAGTTTTTTGTTGTTGTTTTGGATCAGTTTCGTGCTGCCGGTGCGCGGCAGTCGTGACAACACATCATTAACAACAACAGCAACACCAGAGAGGAGCAAAGAAGATGTCATTTCACACACACACACACACACACACACACACACGCAGACACACACAGACACACATGCTCACATACATAGATGGATTTCCACTCATGGACCACACGAATACCAATGGAATCAAGAAGAAGAAAAGAGCCGAAGGCCTTCCATGAACACAAGAAGTGCCTCAAGAGAAAAGACAGCAAATATGAAATGCAGCCTCACGGAAAGAACGAAAGAGAAAGAAGAAGCAGCAGCAACAACAATAAACAAAAGACGGCCCGGCAGAAAAGAAGACCGGCAAATCATCTAAATTCGAAGAAGTAGCAAAAAAAAGAGCAAAATGAAATCACGGCAAACGTTTAGGCGAGCCTCTTTGCATCCAGGCTGTCTTTATCTTCCAGACACACGTTGTACTGCTGCATCAATACGTAATCTAACTCCTCCTTATGCTTCTTCCATGTGGAGGATACCAGGCACATCGTGTGCGGCGGCCGCTCCACACGGGCCGCAACGACCTCCACCGTCGCCGCGATGACCTCCCGTTGCAGAAGGGCGGGCTGTTGCGGGGAGGGAATACCCTCCGCGCCCAGAGCGTTGACGGAGGACCCACCAGCGTCCAACCCATCCTCACCGAGCTCCTCCCGCTGCAGCGGCGGATCCGCAGAGGAGTGGTTCACGGCAGCACTGCCGTCGTTCTCCTCCTCCGACTTGAAGGCACGCCGCATGAGCGAGGGCGGAGTCGAGTTCGCGCCCTCACCGAGCAGCGGCGAGGCCTTCACGCTGTGCGACAGCGCAGCAAATTTCTGAAAAGGTGCGAACGTGTCCTGCAGCGTTTCCTGATCGATGCGGATGCTGCAGGCCCAGTCCAGCTCATAACGCGGTACCGTCTTGCGATCGGCCTCCTCCACGTAGTGGCGGCCAGTCAGCACGTGTTGAATCGCAATGATCCTCCGTGTTCCTTTAGACTCTGCCGTATTGCCGTACGTCGCGGCGGTCCCGTTCGTCGTCGCAGTGCGCCCGTCCGCCTCCGAATACGTCGACGGGGCTGCCGCGGCAGCCCCAAACGCGTCCGCCGCCTGCTCGGCATTCAACGTGGTGGTATTGTTGTTCGCGGCCAGCTCGGAGGAAGGCGTGAGCTGCAGACTCGCCTCTCCCATTCTCGCGGCGCCGACGGCGTTCGCCTCCTTCGTCGGCACCGTAGAGGCGCTGTTGTACAGCGTATTCAACGTGTGCTGCTTCAAGGCGATCAGATCGGCTGAGGTGGCGTCCTTCAGGCTAAAGTGGATCGTCCAGGAGACATCCTGCATGTGCGAGCCCCACGGCACCCACAGGACGTGCTTCAGGCGCTGCACCGGGAAGAACATCACACTCTGGGTCGCAAACTGCATAAGGTGAAAGGTGGCGCTGCGCACGGTGTAGCGGCTCGGGTTGCCGGGTGCCCCTCCCGGCGCGCCAGACGGCACCAGTGACGCCGCACTGCGGATTTGAGAGTTGGAGCTGCTCTTCGGCGCGCCGTCTTTGTCGTGCACGTGGTGATGCAGCGGCGGTGGCGACGACGTGCCTTTCTTGGCGCTCGCCTTTGCGTTGGCACCACCACCGTAGTCGGCGGGTGCCTCGACGGAGAGGAGCGCCGTCGCGGCGGTCGTGTCGGGCAGCTGGAAGGCAGAGATGCCCGGCGACTCGGGACGTGAGCTGCGGCTCGGTACGGAGGGGGATGCACGCGCGGGCAGGGGGAGGGCCCCGGGCCCCGATGGCGCACTCGCCGACGCGCCGACGGTGCGCAATGTGGTGGACGTGGGGACTGTGTGGCATTGCTCCTCGGCCAGCGCGATCATGCCGCTGTCCACGCAGGCGTTCAGCAGGATTTGATGGACGTCTAATGGGAGAGAGGTGCGGGCAGTGCGCTTTGGGGCAGGCGGTGGGAGTCGACCGTCCTGCTGTTGTTGTTGCTGCTGCTGCTGTGGCTGGAAGACGGCGAGGTACTCACTCACCGCCTCGCTTTCGACTGCCCCGTCGTTGCTGCCCTGCGCCACCAGTCGATCCCACGCCGACTCAAACGCGACGCCGAAGGTTGCCCGCTCGTCACACAACTCGGACAGCAACAACACTTCTTCTCGAACACGTTTCATGCGTGCGGCAAAGGCGTCGTCCTCGCGGAAAGGCTCTCGTTGACTGGTCCGGCCACCGGGGTACAACCGCGGCGCCTGCAACGGGGACGGTCCAGGCGACACACCAGGGGTGGTACTACTGTTATTGTTACCGCCTCCTGTTGCGTCGACGCACAGCGGTGGACGGCCGTGATCGGACCCGCTTCTCGGCAGCAACGGATGACCACTCCTATCGCGACGATGATGCCCGTATTGGGCGTGTGCGTGCGTTGTTGAGCTGTTGTGATTGTTATCTTCCTCGCCGTTCCTCTCGTTCTCGTTCCTGTTAAGGTTGCTCGAGGAGACAACGAATGGGTTCTCCGATGGCCTGCGCGAGGGACCGCCCGGCGTTGGCGTCGTCGATGCAGCTCTCCAGTTGGCGTTTGTGTGCTCGCAGCCGGCCGGCAGGTAGTTGTGGTGCGTCTCCGTCCCCACGTAGACGATCATGCGAGGAAAGTCGCGGACAACGGCGAGGGGGTCGGCGCCGATGTCGAGCAGCATCTTCTGCTTCCATGTGTCGTACGACTCGGTCGGGTTGTTGCGGTTCTTGGTGTTCTCGCGGTGGTGACGCTTCTCCTCCGCGGTGGAGCAGACGTTGCCCATGATGGTGCAATAATAATAATAATTACTATACAAGTTCAATGTGTTTACAAAGCAAAACTAATAATCATAATCATAACCGTAATGATGATAGTACAGCGTTGGCTGCAGCGCGTACACGATTTGCGTGGGACGGGGAAATTTCTATTAATAATTCTGTCGTTTGACGTGAAGTGCAACCAACATCAAAAAATTCTGTCTGCAGGTGTTCAGAAAAAAAAAGGGGGGGTCTGTGCAGTGGAGCACAGGACGTCGTGTATCGCACTCCACGTTTATAGTGGAGAGGGTATAGATCGCCGAAAGCGGGAGAATAATAAATGAGGCAGAAGAAGAAGCGTCCGCGAGAGACTTACAGACACGAAAAGCAGCAGAAAAAAGAAGAAAAAGAGCCAGCTCCAGCGAAGCAGCGATTTTGTAGTTTAGTCTGCCTCCCCACCCCCTTCTACGTTCACTGAGAGCAGGTGAACAGCTCCATTGCAGTTATAAAGAGAGAGAGAGACAGAGAGAGGAAGGGACATGAGAAGATCCATTCACATGCGAATAGGAACGTGGTGAGAGTAAGACGACGTTTTATTTCTTCCTGTTGCTCACGAGACGGAGCTGGGTCTGCGTTCGGCAGCGTCAGATAAGGTCAGCAGAGATTGACGACTGTGCCGCTGACAACTATTCAAAAGTTGGTAGATCATCATGAAAGATTAGCGTGGTGTTTAACTACCTGCAATGTGCATACTGGTCGGGTCCCGCACTGCACGAAAGCGGCATGAGCGCGGACAGGTATCGGCTGTGCGGTCTCGCCTCCATTACGCACATTCGTTGTACACGATCATCATCTGTTTTCCATATCTATCGATATTGTTTCTTTAAGCAAAGATTAAATCGAATCACACAATCGCATGCACTTAGAAAAACGACAGCAACAACACAAATACAGCAACGATGCACGATAAAAAAACGCACAGCCTTCCATCGATCGTCAAGTTGTTGTGATACTGTTGACTCCACACAAACTCCCACACAAACGCACACGCACACACGCCCATAAATATATCGATCTCACGAACGCATGCGCTACGGCGCTTTGGCATGTGCAACACCACCACAGTAACAACAACAAAAAAAAAACAGCAAAGAAAGGAAAACCATTGAGACAAAAAATGCGAAAGAAGAACAAGGCAGCCAACCAGCTCGACTCGGAAACACACAGACACACACCCGCCAAGAAAAAAAAAGAAAACACGGACCTACACTACAGAAAGGTATTTGAGTATATGAGCTAAGTTCAAGGAAGAAAGAAAAAATAAGGAGTTCAAAAGAAAGTAAGTACCGATGAGAGACAGAAAAAAGAAATAGCCAAAGAACAGCAAATAAAGGCCCCGAAGCGATGATCCTTAACCACACACCTTCCTCGGAGGGGGATGAGAAGTGGAAAGGGAGAGGGGGGGGGAGGGGGGATGTGAAGGCACGCATCCGACTTGCTACTCTGCAGAAAAATAAACAAGGAAACACAGTCCAAAAAGGCCATTAGTCCTTTGACCGGTTTCCGTTGATGTGGAAAATACGTAGAGTACGACATCAAGCAAGCAAAAACACATGAAAGCACACAGACGTTGGAAAAACACGCAAACACATACGTGAAAGACGACACACACACACACACACCGTGATGATGTTTGAAGACGTATGAGGGAAAAACACACTTAACGGGTGGAGCAAGAAAAGAGCAGCAAGAAAAAAAAGTGAACGACCATTAAACGGAAGAGCAATGTATGGATGCGGTTGACGCCAAAACAAAACAGAAGGGCAAAGGAAGAATACTAGAGTTTTTCTTTAAGCAGTTATGCGGGCCTGGTGTGATGTCACATCGTGCTGAACATCCGGCGACATACTCGCGCAGGTACGCGGAGAACAAAACACCCGAAAAAAGACCGACTTCCGTTGATAGATGAGTGAGAAGGACAGATGATGGGGCAACGATCAGCCGATAAAACAAGTAGTGAAAATGAGTGAGTATAACGGGAAAAAGGTTGGAGTTTCCCAAAGTACCGGCCTGCCCTGCACAAGTAGTGCGGTAGAACGGCGCTCGCGCATGAACGTGAGAGGAGAAGATCGCCTCCAGTTCAAGTGTGAAATTGCATCGAGGACCGTATAACGTGCGGCGGCGCCAACTCAATTATCTCCATTATAAAAGGAACACACGAATGTAGGATCATTATGTAGGAACAGCTGGCCTTATGAGGCTTTCTTGTCAACACATGCGCTGCAAAAGGATAAAGAAGCGAAGGGAATGAGGAGGAGAGGAAACAGTTGACAAACGCCACGGCCCAGCATCAAGGAAGTACGCGTGTTGCATTCAAGTGGCGCCAGTGGGGCGGAACCTCGATTGTGTTCGCCCTCAAACGGGCGGCACACGCGCATGCTACTTCGTCACTCCCTACGGTCGCACTTCATCCGTTGCAAGATTTACGGTGGCATGACACCGACTCCCCCATAGTACTCCACCTGTCCGCTCCCTTACGGTGCCCATCCGTCCTGCACTTCTGCCTTTCCTTCACAGAGCGGAGAGAACGTGTTGCAGAGCAAAGGCAAGGCCACATCGTTTACGACCGTGCGAGCCAGGCTCCCACGCTGCCTCGGCTCGAAATCCCCAAAGTTCCTCGACAACGTATCCGCGGGGTTCATTGGTCCGGCGATGTAGAAAAAGACAACGCTGATCCCTCGTTCGTAGAACACGTCATAGGCGTACTCGTACAGTTTGTTCAGAGACAGCCCTCGGCCTATCCCTCCGAAACCGTTGAGTTGCTTTTGGGCGTGTACGATGGGAAAATGGTCCGTTACCAGCGCTATCTTCGCACCGTCCGGTAAACCCTCCTCGACGAGTTGCCGCAGCATCAACTCGGCTGCGCGCGGTTCAGCGTGCGCCGAGTGCTTGGCCATGAAGTACGGTCGGTCGTCAGTTTCCGCGGAGTCGCGGCCCCGAAGGGGTGCACGTGCCCGTGGCAACCGGGTCTGCTCGAGCTCATTCACCCACATCTGCTGATATGCGGTGATGCTCTCAGCGCCATCGAGTGGCCCGACGGAGCCTGCCTCCCTTGACGTGTTGCGCAGGTGTTTGTGGGCGTACGCGCCCCACCCGCCTAAGGAGGCGTCCGTGAAGCACACCACGTCGTAGTTGTCTTCCGAGTACGTGGCGGAGCGTTCCCTGGCGATGGGTTGCCACGGGTTGTGCACCAAGCGGGCTCCAAGCTCGTGCAGGGCGGCGTGGATTTGTGGATGGAGGAAAGGGAGTGGGTCGTCCCAATCGAACCCTCGGCTAACCAGGCGGGCCGCCCCTCGGTAGGCCCGTGCCAGGCTGAATGCACGTGCAGGGTTGATCAGTGTGGTGTGCAACATGTAAAACATGAGCGACACCACCGACGCAAAGGACCGAATTGTGAAGGCGGGCTTTCGTAACGCGACGATCAACTTCGCCACACTCTTCGCCGAGTTGCGCACTAAGCGCTCGCTACCGTTCCACCTATACTCTTCCCCGAGAAAGGTGTTCGGTTCCTTAGCCAACGACAACAATGACGCGTCGTCCATGGTTGCCAAGGATTCGCGATCGGGCGATGTGAGAAGGTTGGCGCCGCGTATACGCGCCATAATCCTGCGGACAGCCGACAAAAAGTCCTCTTCCTGTCCTTCGTCCGCTGCAATCAAGATATTGTCAATCATAGTCATGATCGTTACTGGTGTATCGACGTCGACTATTGTTGACGTAATACCCTGACCCACTGCGACACTCCACCGTGCTTCTGTAGGCAGTGTGCAGAGACGGAAGTAGGCGCCGTTGCGGGCGCGAAAGACAAAGAAGTTTCGCAACTCACCAGGGAGCGGGGTGGCGTCATAGTACGCTTCGAAATCCACTTGAAGCATGTACCGCTTGTTCCGCAAACTCTGCCTTCGCTCTAGGCGCGTTGGGTACTGGACTTTCGGCATGTCGCTCGTCTGGAGGCACGCGTTTAGGTGCGGTTCGGTGATGAGTCGTCTCCTGCCCTTCATTTCCGGTACTGCGAAAACGTTAACGCCGTGTACTCCTTCTGGGAGGTGCTTACCCTCGATGTTGTCGGCTGCGGGGCACAGTTCCATCTTCCCCATCTCCACTGCTCGGTCGATATCTGCCATCGGCAAGTGGCATTTCTTAATTGTCCTCGATGTCCTAAAGCCGGTGAAGTGCTCAGGCGTGAAAAACATCCCCACTCGTCCGAGGAAAGCCCGTGTTTCTGGCTTGGTAGTTGTCATGTCGCAAACTGCGTTCCAGTTCAGCGGAGTTGTCTTCTTGAGGTGTAGCGGCCATTGTCCTGGTGGAGGTAACGGCGGTGCGTTGTGGGCGCCCTTGAGGCGCTGAATCTCTCGATATACCTCCGTGGGGTCGACAGCTAAGTCTTGCGTTGTAGGTGCGGTTAGGCCGAACTGTTCAGTTCGTAAAGGGCCGCGCTGGCGTTGGCCTGCGCGGTTGCGGCCTCCGTCGTGAGTTGGTGGCCATAGCCCAGGTACCTGTGGAGTGTGTCGGCGCGTCGGTGACCTGACATGATCATCAGTTCGTGCTCTGCCATTCCGTTCGCCGCCATGCAGCGTAGCGCGCCCTTGCGTACTGACGGTAGTGCTGCCAAAGGGTTCTCGCGGCGCAGGGCCGTGCGGATGGTGTCGGTGATTTCGGTCGGTCGAGCAAACAGGTGCTGCGTAGGTCGCCGGCTGCGGAGGAGGTGCGCGAGAATCAGCGCCGATTCGCGCGGCAGGGTTGACGGAACAGAATACGGCCCTCGGAACCGTGCCCCTTTGCCGCGTCTCATTGTCAGGACTACGCCATACCGATCTGGCCATATTGTCACACCTCCGTCCACAAATGGTGGCGGTTCCTCCCCCGTGAAGCGTACATCCCTGCACTGCAGAGTCCGTAAATCGCCCGCGCGAGCCGCAAATGCCCACATCATTTCGAGGAACAGAGAAGCTTCCTGATCGCGCTGCCGTAGTGAGTTCCGTTGCGCCGCGTCCTTTTGTTCCTGAGTGATAGGGGACGGCGGAGCCGCGACACTCTCCCGGTCGAAACGCTGCGCGGCGGCCACTGTCTTCTGCCATTCCGGGTAGCGGTTGAGATGTATCGGTTCGCGTTGATTGGTGTAGAGGGGCAGTTGTTGCAGCGCACCACTGACGGACGCCAGGGCCTTCGCGGTGGTCGACCATTTCCATTGTCTTGTCACCGCGATGCGGCGTACAAACTCTACCACTGCCGCAGCCAAATTGCGCCTGCTCAGTAGGTCGGCCGGTAGTGCGCGCAGCTCGTACAGCCACCGCCGGTGTACTGCCCGCGTACCTTCTGATACGGCGGACCAGGCCATTTGGCTGATGTGCGGGGGCTTCCCTGGGTGGATATACCACGTTCTCGGGCAGGCCGGACCCCCAGGTAGCAGCCCGCCCCTGTCGTTTAAAGGAAAAATCTCTGTCGCGTTGTGCCGTCCGGCCACCTCTACTGGCTGAGCTAGCCGTAAGAAACGAATCAGAAGAGGAGACGAGGGAGCGAGTAAAGAACACAGATATGGTGTTTTGCCACATTCCATCTAACAAACGGAGTAATACATGACCAAAGCGTCAGTGCCGATTCCAATGCTCAAAACACCTTCGCTTTACCAAATGCAGAGCTGACTTGCCATCCTTTTCTACTTACATCATTTGACTTCGTTTTCCAACTCAGTATCACACAACAAAATCGCGCGCGCACACACACACACACGCAACCCCACATAAAGTGAGAATAATATTAATACTATCAAATCAACCATTTTGTAAAAAAGGAAAAAAGATCGAGAGAAGACAATAAAAAGAAAATCTGAAGGCCGTCTTCACAGAAAGAAGAAAAAAATGAAGAATTACGAGTAGAGAAGTCAACAACACGCACGTCCGTATAAGGCAAAACAGGGAAAGAGAAAAAGTTCTGCGGAAAGCAAAAATAATAAAATATCACAAACATACTTTTAAAGAAAAGAAAAAAAGGGAAGGTCCTAAAGAAAACAATTGTACTCGAATAAGTACAAAGGCGGAAACGTATTGGGTGCTCGCACCATTTTTTTGCGACTTGACACAGCACGCATTAGAAAATAAATAATGAAGAAAAAAGAATATATACACTTACTTACTACCCCCCTCTCTCTCTCTCTCTCTCTCTCTC